CTGCTGCTGCTACTACTACTAACTACTACTACTACTACTACTACTACTACCACCACTACGACCACTACTACTACTGCTGCTGCTGCTGCTACTGCTGCTGCTGCTACTACTACTAACTACTACTACTACTAACTACTACTACTACTACTACTACTACTACTACTACTACTGCAACTACTGCTATCCCTGCTGCTTTTGCTGCTGCTGCTGCTGCTGCTACTGCTACTGCTACTGCTACTGCTACTGCTGCTACTACTACTACTACTACTCCTCCTGCTGCTGCTGCTGCTGCTACTACTACCGCTACTGCTACTGCTACGGCAACTCACCACCGCCATAGCATCATTTCTGCCGTCATTGCCATGCTCATCATCGCCATCTTCCATGTGACACTCGGGTTATTTTCACTTTCGAAACAACTTCATCGCCGCCAGTCAATAGTGTACCCAAGGCCCCAAGAGTCCCCAAGCCTGGGTCGCCAGTCCTCCGCCCCGGTGATTTCAGCCACCAGGCACGCAGCCACGTGGCAGGCAGAAAGGCCCCGACAGGCGGCCCTTGGCTTTGAAGTCTAACTCAGACTCCGGGTGGAGAAATAGGGCTGGATTAAGCTGCTGCCTCTGTCCCCGAAACAGGAGCAAACAGCACTCCGATGTCCAACTCTTTGACCAAGCTCCTGCATCCGTTAGGTTTTCTTCCATCACCAGGGTCGATGCGACCCGGCGATGCATGAAAGCAATATGCTGGTGGGTGCGAAGACCCACTTGCCATAAAGCTTTTCAAAAGTTTGCCTTCGGCAAGTGAGGCATATCCCAGCCTGCGTCGTGTACGTGGCATAGCGGCAGCACAGGGTTCGGAGATGTTTGGACCAGACGATAGGTTTGGTTGTTTTCAAGACTCCGATCCTCGAGGAGTCCGCCCGTGGGTGCAAGATCCAGTCCAGGTTCCAAGATTTCGGAACTTTGACTCATGCACACTTTAGTTGCAAGAGAAGGCTCCCTCGACTCACAGAGAAGCGCTCCGTCAAACATAGCCTACTCATGGTTCAGATTCTTCTGATACTTCAGGCCCTGAACCGCCTAGCACAAGTGAATAAACCCTGACGTATGAATCAACGGACGCTTGTAAAAGCTGTGAAACCAAGGGCAGCCAAAGCAAGGGACAAATTGAAATCGTAGCGCTCTGCGCTCTACGAGACTGGTTTGCAGATGCACAGCGCACTTGGACTCTGCAGTGCTTCCTGGCCTGGCTGCCCGTAGAATCTGCAGCAAGGGTTTCGGCATCAAGCTGGATCCGCAAAGCCAGTGCGTGCAATCGTAGGTAGTGTTGCACCGTGATGCAATCCAAAGCGTGGTGGACTTGCGGTAGGAACCGAAAACGAATCTGTCACAAAACGTAACTCGAAAGCCTAGTAAAGGAAAGCCGCGATCTGCTTACTGCACGTCCAGTCGTGAATTGCAGCTGGTAGTTATACCGGCGAAGACGCAAACGTTGATTCAAGTTAAAATTCTCGACACGGCGAGTTGGGAGTTCAATTACATTTACGAAAAATGTACCTGGCATTGTTGAGATAAGCTTATGTTGCATACCCTATGCGTCTCTCACAATCTCAAAACCGTGTAGAAGCCATAGCACTGCAACCAGCTCGGCCGTGTCGACGTAGCCAAGCTTCCTACCGGCCTGGTGCCCTTCCCGACAGAAAAAAGCTTTGCACCTCAAGCTTGCTCTGACGCCATGGAGATCAGATCACACTGTCCTCTGCACAACTTCCGCCGGCTGGTCAGCAAGCAGGGCCCTGTCTGCATTGTCCCTCGAAATCTTCCATGGAATGATGATGAGCAAGGCGATGCACAAGCTCAGCAAGCCGGAAATGACGTAACTGTTCGCGATCAGCCGGAAGCCGTTCATACCTCGGTAGCACATGTTATCAGTCAGTCCCTGCCAGAAATTGCGCATGAAGCCGCAATTCAGCATGTCGAGAAGGTCCACCACCGGGGTGATAATGTCTGTCTGCACGAGAGTCTTCATGTCGTTGATGATAGCATCAAGCAAACTGCTGGTGATGGCATCGAAATACTCGAAGGATTTCTGGATGTCCTGCTCGGCACCCTTGACGAAGTCGTTGAACTCGGCGAGCGTGCACTTCCGAGTTCGCCGATATACGGTGCCACCGTTCAGGCAGGTTCCGGTCCAGGAGCCGCCACTTTGGACCATGTTGCGTGGGTAGCACGGTGTGGGGTCATTGGGCCCGTTAACGATGTACGTGCACATGAACAGCTCTTCAGTCTGGAATTTCTGCTTGATATCCTTGAGGAAGCTGGCTGCTGCTGTGCATCCCGGCTCGAAGAACTGCATCGTCAGATTATTGTTGCAAGTGCCGCCGGTTAAGGACGGGCATGAACCCGCCATGGGTGTGTCCATGTAGTAGGACAGCCCTGGCACGGCGTTGCCCTGCACGGTGAATCCATCGGTCGCCATGGCTTCAATGCCCGGCACGGACTGGCCACCAAGGTCCCCGAGAGCATCGCTCAAGGACACATTCGGGCAAGACACGCTATTCACAAGGTACGCCTTGAAGGGACTCGTAGAGCCCTGAACATCCTCCATCATGGCTTTGTAGGGCGAGGATGCCGCAGCAATCTCCGACTCCACGGGAAGGTAGAGAGCCGACATGTCCAGGGCTCCGATCATGCTCAGCAACTCCTGGGTCGCGGCATCATTGGCAAGCGACGGTGCCGACCCATCGCCGCCCAAGGAGGCCTGTGCGTTGTCGATCTGCTGCATGATGGGATCAAGGGCGAATGTGAAAATCTCTTCGTGGATTGTGGAGCTCTCACCCAGATCGGCCCTTGTCTGGTTCATGGGAGGGATGTCGACGATGTCAGCCAAATTTCGGCTAAAGCCAGGGTCCTGCTCCGGATGCTTGAGGCTGAAGCACCTGTCCGCAATCTTCAGTGCCATCTCAACCTCCGGTGGGACATCAGCACCCACGGCAGCCATTAGGTTAGCGCCCGACTCCTGGTCGAAGTCGATCATGACGAGACAGAGGCCACTGCCGAACATAGCCACGATGACCATGATCCCAGCAATCAACAAAACGATCATGGCATAGATACAAGCACTGCACGACACGCATCCACTGCAGAACCGGACGCAGCAAATGTCTGGCTTCTCTCCCTGGTTGTCCTTTGCTGACCAAAGGGAAAGAGCAATCAGAGCACTGAGAGCGATGAGCAAGTAGAAGGCAAAGAAGGCCAAAACTGCTGGCTGCAACATGGAGTTCTCACCAGCAACCATCTCGGTAGATTGTTGAAAGCCGCCACTGCCGGGTTCTACGAAGAAGCCAACCTGCTCGACGAAGGCGTCCTTGGCTGCCTTGATGGGCTCCATGGCTTGCGTGATGGAGACGCGGAGGTCTTCGGCAGCCGATCCTTGCAGGTTCTCTTCGATCTTTCCTCGCAGCTGGGCCATGGCCTCACCTGTACTGCTCGCGAAGACATCGTTGATCCTGCCCAGGATCTCAGCCAGGGGCTCGCACACTTGGCACTTGTGGTACATCGTGGAAGACGATGGGTTGTTGGGGTCGACCACGGGGTTGACATTCACCGGGTTCTCCATCATCATCTGGAGGGCTTCCATCGTGCCAGCTGCAAGGTCGACCGCCTTCTGAATGTCCTGCATTTGTCACAGAAGGTCTTAAGCGGCCAGCAGGATGCCAACCGAAGTGTCCCTCTAGCCACCCTAAACCCTGAACCCTAAGCCCTAAACTAAACCCTGTCCTGCGTTTGATCGATAATTGTGTTCAGCTGTGTCAGGAAAGACGAGCCTGGATTCAAAATCGTCGCCAATCCGGACAGTGTGTTGTGCGCCGGCAAAAGCCCAGTAAAGTCATGCTCAGGGGAGCCTGCCACCGCATCCTGGATCAAGACGGCGGCCGAGCAGGCTGTGCCAGAGATGCCATTATCGATGTTGGTGGCACCAGACATGGACGTCGAGACCATGATGACTGCAGCAACCCCAAATGCGATGAAGAGAAGCCAGAGAACTCCTTTGAAGACCTTTCCGGTCGCCCACTTGCGTTGGCAGCATCGGCAACACATCTTGCAGCAACATGGGCAGCAAACGAACCAGCAGCACAGGACCCACAGCACAAAGAGCAAAATCGACAAAACGACGGCAAAGGCCTTTCCGGCCACAAAGCCCGGGTCTGCGATCTCTTGAAAGCGGTCGGCGATCTGGGCTACGTTGTCACCGTTTTGGCGGGCGATACCCGCTTCTTCAATGAGCGTCACGATGAAATTGTCTGCACCTGCGCCGCCTTCCAAATCTTCCCGTGCCGCATCGGTGTCCAGCTCTGGCAGCGATTCGATGACCGAGCAGTATTTCTCCACGGTCTCTGCGGCGTCGGCCAACACCTTGTCGTCCTGGGCTGTCTGCCCAGAGGCCACCACAAGGACTGCAAAGACCGACAGGAATCGCAGCATGCTGGACGGCAGATCTTTCAAACAGTCGCAGGCAGGAAGCTTAAGCTGTGTTTGAACCGTGATGTCGCAGTGACGGGCCAGGTCCTCAGGATTTTGAAGAATCTTGCAAGTTGAGCGACTCAAAATCAACCCTGCCCACTGCTCTGCTGGTGTATGACAGAAATGGGGTTCCCAGAGAATGGCCGTGCTTGTCTGCTGTTATCAGGCAAGCCCAACACCCACGTGCGAGCGCTCGTTGGAGTCTTTACACGCCAGCTGCGGACAACTATCACATTCACTCATGAAGCAAAGAACATGATTGCGATGCTCATTGAGTCTTCGCTCAAATGGCCGAGTATACGATCATCAATCGTCTATACTTCTTCTTCGAACGTCGTCCGACGATATACAGCTTTCCTCCTGAAAGCATGCTCCTGATATGCCATTCCTTTCCATCCTGTATGCAAATCCTTCCTTCCTATATACGACTCCTTCTATCTCCTTCTCATTCTCCTGTATACGAATCCTCCTCATCCCCCGGTCGTCGCGAATATACTGTCCTGAAGCAGAGCTTGACCCAGACTCTACACCCGCAGTTCCTGGCGACATAGGCAAGAGGTGTGTAGAACACTAGTTATAGGTCTTGCGCAAGTGCAGAAAGTGGGTGCATGGTTGTGACGGGCTTCAAGTGTGCAAATTTCGAGCACAGGGCCCTCTGGGAATCGTACCAAACCTCCTCCAGCTCAGTCCTGGAGGAAGTTTCTGTGCCGGTGGCTCTGGCTACAGGCTATCCTGCCTGCTCGGCGCGACCCGCGTTGCGTGGCACGTCTGAGAGAACCTGGCGATGGCCTCCAAAGAGCTCGGAGTACGTTCGCATTAGCACATTACGAGAGCAGTAGCGATTGATCTTGTACCAGCTCTCATCAGCAAGGAATGCTAATGGGAGCAAGTGCTTGCAAACACCAGGATCGATCTTCAGTTCTAGCCGCAATCCGAATAATCAGTCATGTGGACACCGGGAACGAACTTGTTGCTGTGAATGCACATATTCACTGAGTAGCGGTGGCAACCCTGAACCCACAGTTCCAATTCTGCGATACCCATATCGGTAACCACAATGATGTGTCAAGCTTCGAAGCTGTGGCTCGAGCCTGCTCAGATTCAATCTGCTGCTGCCTGTTAACAGCAACTTCCGGCAAAATCTTGCCTGGCACGTGCGGAGGTCGGGGTGCAGAGCAGCAAGTACGCTGCGAGGCCGCTGTTTTGAATTTAACGCTGGCATACTCTACGCTGTTTGCACGGATACATATGTTCCGTTGTCATCATTAAACTTACCCCCCTTAATATTAAACTACTAAACGGCCCCCCCCAATAGATACTCGGAAAGTGTTTTCTTTTATTAGGGGTATGTTTATCTCTATTATCAGATTTGGGTGCAATACTAACTAAAACTTTATTATTAGTGTGAGGCAGGCTTCGGGACAGCAATGCTCACCCCACAAAAGACAGACAGCTGACAACCAGGGTCTCTCACCCTAAACCCTCAACCTTTAACCCCACCCCCCTAATTCAGAATAGGTATTAAAGGGCAGGGGCGATTTCTGCAGGATTGGGCCCAAAGTGTTTTTGTTATCAGGCGGGTGTTTAATAGAAAGGGGGAAGTGATTAACTCATCACCACCATTGTGAATCCTACTGATGCTTTCGAGTGAATGCCTTGGTTCAGAGCTCCGTGTGCTTACCAGTGTTGCCCTATTCTGCTATTTCCAAAATGATTTTCGCTCCAGAACACGCGAAGACACTAGAAAATGATACAAAATGTAGGGGGCCCAGGCCATTCCAGCCTCTGCCTTTGAACGCAGCAAAAAGCGACGCGTGACAGCAGAAACACAGTGGGCGCGACTTCAAGATCCTCACAACTGGTCTGCGAGCCACGATCGCATTGGCAAGGACCGACACATGTTGGCACTCAGCGGTGACTGCTGACTCTCTCCTCATCTCCCTGACTCTCTTTGTCTCAGTCTTTTGTGCGGCCCTTTAGGAGTTTTCTGCATTCAGCCCCAAATGGGATAGTTGCCTTGTTCTTCATGCCTGAGAAGCGACAGAGTAAGAATAGAACTGCCTCGGGATGCGCACTCAAGGAATCAACTACATTCCCGCGTTACGGGGGACTTCTCGTAGATGCCAAGCTCAGAAAATGTCGCGTCCTGAGAACATGGACCCAAGCGGGAGTGCAAACCGGCGAATCGAATTCATATTCCGGAACGTGCCATCTTTCAAACAAATGCGGGATCTGCGACACCAGAAGAGCTACGTGGAACTGGTATTTCGAAAACCCGAACCTCGTCCCCTCCCAACTCACATTTGACAAGGGGGAGCTCTTGTCTACCAGAAAACATCGCCCCACTCCTAAGATTTGATCAAGCCTGATGGTTCTGCAGGAGAGAAGGTCTGCAGAAGGAGATCCTGCGCGTTTCTGTGCGGCCCCTGTAAGTTCTGTAATTGCACTGCGACGTCTGGGATACCAGAACTACTGCTCGATTAAAGTAAAGAATTCCCATGATGTCCTGTAGGTCGAGGATCTTGTCAAGCCAGGGCGCCTGGTTGCTTTGGAAGAGTGTCCCCGGGGTCGGAAGAAGCTCGGTCAGCGTAGGAAAGGTCTTGTGTGGGAGGCACTCGCGATTGCTGTAAGGCGGGTCCCGAAACGCAATCTGCACAGATGCTTGAATTGAAACCATCCTGTACGTTTCATCCTGAAAATGTGTGTTTGATTGCCTGTTGATGACGATGGTGGAGTATGTTTTGTCGTTCTAGGTCCATGCTCCTCCCTTTGACCGAGGCTCTGCAACTACTCGGCAAGCTCGAGCCTGGCTGAAAGCGCGATAGGCGCGCATGCTGCGATCTAGGCCTGTCAGCTCAAGATTGCAAGAAACTCACAGCACACAAAGCTCCGGAATCCTGGCATCCGTGGTCTGAGCATGTCTGAACCGACCCTCTCCACTACGCAGGTTGGTGTCTTGCAGTGTCTTGCAGGTGGCCTCCCTGTACGGGCCGCAGACGCAACGTGGACTCGGGCATCGAGCCACAGGGCGGCGGAAGCAACCACATATCGCAAGCCCTGAAAAATATGCACAGTCAATGTACCCGACTCCGACCTAGAGCGATGCCCTCCAGTTTACAGGCGGTTTCTTCTTCACTTCTGAAAGTAAATCAGGCCTGCTGAGGCACGAATGCAAGATATAAAGGAAGCAATGACTCTCACTTCGTGTCTGCTGCAAGCAGCCACGGATGTAGAGTCACTTGTCTCTCGGACCCCAACATCTCCCCGGTTGAAGTGGCAGGCCACCTGGCACTGACACTGTGTGTAGCGGAACAAGAATCTCGCGAAACCTCGAGAACAAACAGAAAGCAAAGTCTTGATCTAGAGAGTGAAATGTCAGGCGGAGTTTGCATGATATAGTGTGCCTGCACTTGTTGCCAGTCAAGCATGCAGCAGCCCTCTCCCAGTCACTCTCAAGCCTGGCTCTGGCGAGAAGGCTGGAGAGCACTGTGAGAGTTGAAGCCACTGTACCTCGGCTCGGTGCTTTCTGTGCAGTGGGATGTCGCTTCGTCCTCTTTTCCCGCATTGAGCTGACGAGGCTTAGGTCCGCTTGCAGGGACAAGGCCGTCTCAAGCCGCAATCTTGCAGGATTCCTTATATTCCTTCGACTTCTCATAGCCCCACTTGTTCGGGAAGTAGGTGAATCCTCAGGGGATCTCAGGTGCCAGTGCGCTTCAAGATGTGGTTGTACGAAGACGTCAGAAGCTGTCTAGAGTCTAGAGGGAGCACACAGGGGGACCCTGTGCTAAGCCAGTCCTCTGCGTCTCTTCTCCCTCAAACAGCTTGTGCAGCGCGGACCGTACCTGTCAAAACGATTGTGTTGTCGAAGCACTTGCAGCGCGCGGTTTCTGTCCTTTCACACTCACAGTTTCGCAATACTGCAATACCGCTTGCTTTCTCCTGAGCTTGAGCTATGATGTATCCCTCAGCTGGTTCTATCGGCCTGAGTCGAAGGCCAAGCATTCTGATAAATCGTATCCTGCCGTCATTGAGAGGGATGTATGGTGCATGATGCCGCAAACGACAAGGAGGCGAAGCCATGGTCTTTCGCCTAGTGTAGCGGCCTAGCATTCAAACAGAAGCATGTGAAGCCTCAGGAAGAACGTGGATCAGGCAAGCATGCTCGAGTCCAGTAGGCTCTCGCGGGGATCGGGTCGAGGTCGCTGACTTGGCACTGTGATAAGGTAATTCCAGACATGAGCCTCAGCAGGAACACAAGAATGAGTGAGCTTTTCGGCTTTGACCTCGATGGACGCCGGACAACGCCGCGCCAAGGATGAGCGAAGTACCGAAAATCAGCAGGAGCGAATGACAGAATCCTATTGCACGATGCTGAAGCTGACAAAGGCCTCACGGTGTAAAAATTGGCACAACCACATCACCGGACCCCTAATGGGCTCGACAAAAAAGACGAAACACAGCCAGCCGTCTGTCGGAGACACAGTGGTGACTTCTAAAGCACGCAACTTGGATTTCCGACGGTATGGTGCTGGACTTTACAGTCTGCACGGGACGAGGAGGGTCCGGCCTATCTTACGCTGGGTTTAAGTGGAACTTGGACTCAAGCACGGACATGTGGCCAACTGCTTTGACACCGATCTTGGCGGCTGAAGGCACGGCAGCTCTGAAATGCATCCTAAGAGGCTTGTTCAGCATCCCTCGGTTCTCCTGCGACTGGGACGTCGGTGCACCCACAAGGGGGTCTGCAATCTAGCCGAATCGATGCCGCTGATCCGAGACGACAGCAAAGAATGGGCGATTCTGTACCTACTCCGTTTCGGCCGAAACTTTTTGCCCTTGAGTCACCGAAGACCGAGTAGACCTGCGCAACAGCCTGTTAGTAGCAACTAGGCACGGGGTAACCCTTCTTGTGCCGGCTGAACCTTAGACTGGGCGATGTGCGTCCTCCTCATGCATAAGGAGGTCAATGATGCCGAAACTAAGCACGTAGAGGGTATCGCCCCTTTGCCTTTTCTTTCAGGCGGGGAGCAGCAAACCAACAGCTCGATTCCACACGAAACTTTTACAGGGTCCGGAGGTAAAGACTGTAACGGGCGAGAGCACCTGACTAGAGCACTTGGGGTTTGTCCATGAAAGGAGGAGCAGTTGAGCAGTGACTCAGTAAGGTCTTGGAGGCTATTCACTTCCATAGCTAGACGGCCCGGCTCTTGTCCTTCGCGCTTTCGAAAGGCCACCCTACCAGCTTGCGACTGGGAGGCATGCTTGCTGTATTCGGCATGGCAAAGGCCCATGGCTTCTCCAAGTTCAGGAGCTGGAGGTCTCAGCAGGTGTCCATCACAGGCACGGGCACATGACCAACAAGCCTTCACATGCCGGCATTTTGAACCTATACCCTTGTTTTCCATGTGCATGGCAGGGCACACGGATGTGTTGGTGCGCATAGCTGTCTGTATGACCATGTATACATTTGTATATACATATGTATACTACATATGAATAGGTGCATGTTCACACCTTGGTCCATATTTCTCCGTGTGCCGAAACAAGGGTTCGGCTAGCGGCTAGCATCTTCGTCGCGTGCCAATACTCACCGAAGTGCATCTGAGTATGCTGACAAGCCTGAGAATCTCACTTACAACTGAAGCCAGGTCACGCATGCCCCAAAACCCGCAATTTCGAGCCCAGGTGCTGGCGTACCCCTTGAATTCTGCCACATGCAACATCAGCGAATAATCCATTAGACCTCCATTTCGGAGGGGTCCGACGCGCTTCTGGAAGTAGAGCTGGAGGGTTGGAGGAATGCTTCGCGCACATCTGAGATTCTCACGGACACAGACATTGAGATGTTCAACTAATTGTGTTTGTAAACATTGCTTCCTTTGTTTTGTGTGTGTGCGTGCACTCTTCGTTGTTGATGTTCCTGTTTACAACTAGTTGGTGAGTTGATCTGGACCCCAAGCCTCGTCAGTTCATTCTGTGAGCTCTGATATTGGACAAACCCCTCAGGCAGGTAGCTACATCGAGCATTGAGCTGGCTTCTTGGATGAACGGGTTCGAAGCGTCCTACATTCTTCTACAAGACTTGCATTGCTGTACTCGACTAGGAATGCTCGAACTCCTGCAATCTCCAAAGAAAGTGTCTCTATAGATCTTCAACAGCATGAGAACACGCACGCACGCGCACACACACACACATCATACACCATTCCTGCCACTCGGGTGGTTGGTGTACTGAAGGAAAAATCCATAGATACGTACACATTCAAACGCACACATAAAGCAGTAGAGCTGTAGAAAACCCCTCTGCCGCTACAGGCCTAGACCTGCAAGCAGCTTGGAGTCGTCGCGAAGTGTCCTCTCGGAATCATTTTCTAAACAAGCTCATTAGTAAGCGCCGCTCTATGTGACTCTGTCTCACATGCCCGCATGGCTGGACGAAGTGGCCCCTCAGCGCCCCACTTTGCAAAGAGATCGCGACCTTTATCACCTGGCGATAACAGCAGTGGCACATGCATCCGCCTTCAACCCTGAACCCAAGAATCAACACAGCAAAATGGTAAACCCTACACTGGCCTACGCATGACAGCCTTAGGGACCAACAAAGCCCACATCTTCCGTCTTTCATCGTTGGTTTCCAAAGCTGTTGCTGGGAAAGGCTTTGTTGAGAGACCAAGCTGCTCGAATCCTGCACACCCTGGGGACGTAACAGACGCGGTGCAGCTTAAAGGTTTAAAGTCCCTATCAGTGAAGGTGCTGCACTTGACAATGCAGGGATGCACATCAGCCACGAATGTATGCGGAAACGATTAACGACAAACACATGCAGAAGACTCTGCACTATTCACAGAAAAATACCTCTGCGCATAAAACTCATGGAACGCACGGCAAATGGCCGACCGAGCACTACACACACAGCCGACAGATGCACTAGGGTTGCAGTGACGCTAGCTGCTAGATGACCATCGGGGTGTTGAGGCGGAAATGCGATTGCTTCTCACATGTACCGAAGCATGACGGCATTGCGTGCCGTGCAGTCGCTAGCTTAGATCACTTTTGGTCACGCGGTCCAGGGTTGAAGGCACTAGCGGCTTTGGCTGTAGCAGAGAGTTTGGTCACAAGGATCTCGTTAGGGTTGCTTGTTTAACGATACTCTTGGGAAGCGGGTGAAGCCTTTCGCAGTCGCTGTTCCTTCGCTGTTGCATCGTTGCCGTTCTTACAGGTTTCGGAGGTGAGGGTCCAGCATGGATCCTGCCTGGGTAGACCTGCCCGGCAT